GGTGCTGCATGTTCTGATGCTCCTGCTACTTGTGCTGGATGGAGTACTCTACCAACATCAGGACAATTAGAATTTTGTTTAACCAAAATTAATTAAAATGGTTAAAGATGTTCATGGGTTACTGGTGCTTCTGCATGTTCTGATGCTCCTGCTGCTTGTAGTGGATGGAATAGTGTACCAACATCAGGATAGTTAGAATATTGTTAAGCAAAGTATAAATAAGATGGTAAAAAATGTTCATGGATAAGTGGTACTTCATGTACTGATGCTCAGACTCTTTGTACATCATTGACAAATCTACCATCTTCTGAAGAATTAGCTTATTGTTAATAAAGAATCAAATAAAATGGTTTACGATGTTCATGGACAACTGGTGCTTCTACATGTTCTGATGCTCCCGTTGCTTGTACTGGATGGAGTACTCTACCATAATCAGGACAATTAGAATTTTGTTTAACCAAAATTAATTAAAATGGTTTCAAATGTGCATGGAATACTAGTGGCACTACCTGTATTGATCTTCCTGCTGCTTGTACTGGATGGAATAGTCTACCAACATCAGGACAATTAGAATTTTGTTTAGCCAGGAGTAATTTAGCTGGATAAAAATGTTCATGGGTTACTGGTGCTGCTGCATGTTCAGATGCTCCTGCTGATTGTAGTAATTGGAATACTCTACCAAGTACAGGAAAATTAGAATATTGTACAACAAAATTTTAATTAGATGGAGGTAAATGTTCATGGACTACCGGAGCATCAGCTTGCAGGGATTATTCATGTGAAGATACATTATCTCCTTAATCATAAGCTGATTGTGATGTAATTGGAACAGGATGCACATATTAACCTCAAAATTAAATTTGTTATATTAAACAATCAGCATGTACTTCATATACTCCAACAGGACTTACAGATGATGATAAACTTAACTATTGCAATAATCTAGTAAATTCTAGTAATGTTGGATGTACATTTTTAAAAAAAGGAAGTGTGACAACATGCTCAGTACTAGCTGCATGCACAGGTTATAATGTAACTAGTATAACTGATGCTGGTGATAAATTATCAGCTTGTTAAGGTGCAGTACCCACTTCTGGAAAATGCACATACTTTTCAGGAAATACTTGTGTTGCTGTAGATGCTTGCACTTCATATACTGGAGGAACTGCAGCAAGTATAGGGGCTGATTGTGCTAAATAAAAGGATACTGCTGGATTTTTATGTTTTGGTACTGGTACTGCTTGTGTGGCAGCAACATGCAATGATGTTACAGGAGCAACTAGTATAGATGATTGTAAAAAATACGCCAATAATTGTGTGTACTCTACTCAAAAATGTTACACATAATCAGCAACTTGTAATTATTCAACAGGAGGTACTAATGCAATACCATTGTGTAATAGTCTAAAAGATACTAATGGCAACTTTTGTACAGCTGATGCTGATAGTGATGCAACTTGCAAACAAAGAACATGTGATGATACTGCAACAAAAATGTTCTAAACTCATGAAGAATGTAAGGCTTATCTTCCTACATGTAAATCAAATGGTAATGGTTGTATACTTGAAACAACAACTTGTGCATAATAAAGTGGATATCTTAATTATTGTGATTGGGTATTAGATACTAACAACAAATCTACTTGTGCCAAAGGAACTGCTGCTACAACTGACGCATCCTGTACAAATTTATCTTGTGATTTGAATGTTACTGCAACTAATGATTCAGAATGCTAATCATTCCATCCTGATTGTTTAAATAATGGTTTAGGTTGTATTCATAAAAATGAGCCATGTTCCTCTTATTATGGTACAAAAGAACAATGTTAATAATTTATCGGAAATGGTAAGAAATGCTTTGGAGATTCTACAAGTGGTAAAAAAGCTTGCAGAGAAAGAAAATGTACAGATATGACTACAGCTACAGGTAACAGCGACTGTGAAAATTTCTTACCAGGATGTCTATACAATGGAGCAGGATGCGTGCCTAAAAGTGATCCTTGCAGTGCTTATAAGGGAACTTAAACAATTTGTTCAGGATTTAAGGGAAGTAATGGAACCAAATATTGTTGGGGAGCCAGTGATACAGCTTCAGGAAATTGTGCAGATAGAAAATGCTCAGATAAATAAGGTACAACAGATGCTGAATGTTAAACTTTCTTACCCCCTATTTCTACTTCTTCTTCATAATTATGTATTACTGATGGTACAAAATGTACAGATATTGGAAAATAATGTTCGTTCTTTAAAGGAACTGATGAAACATGCTAAAAATTCACAGCTACTGATGGCCCATGCAAAGCAAGTGCTGTTTCAGCAACTCCTGTTGCTTGTACTCCTAAAGTTTGTTATGAAGCTCCTAACACATTTACAACAGATAAATAATGTTAAGATTATCATCCTTCTTGTAAAACAACAGGAAGAGGATGTAAAAGTAATGTTGGATGCGGAGATTACACTTCTTTAACTTCATGTACAACTAATACATCATGTTAATGGGCTGGATAATGCAGATCTGAACCAGCTACATGCAGTTCATTAACTTCTTTAGGTCAAACTATTTGTGTGAATACTCCATTAACAAATGGAAAGAAATGTGCCTGGTTTAATGGTGCAACTTCTCAGACCAGTGTTTGCAGAGATTTCACATGCGCAGATTATGATGGATCTATTACAACTCATAAAGATTGTTAAGATAAAGATTAAACATGTACTACTAGTGGAGCTGGTTGTGTTACTTTAGGAACATGTTCGTCATATAAATCTCAAACTGTTTGCGAAGCTGCTAATACAACTGAAGATTCATTAAGATGTTTTTGGAATTCTGCAACAGCTGCTTGTAGATAAAGATAATGTGCTGATGGAGTATTTACCACTGATGATGCATGTAAAACTTGGCTTACTGGATGTAAAACTTCAGGAATAACTTGTATTGGACCAACTTTCGGATGTGGAGCATTTGATGGAAACCCTAAGCTCTGCTAATAGAATAGTGCTGGAAATCCATGTTATTATGTTGATGGAACATGCTATGATTATGACAATTGTACAGATATTACTTCTTAAACATTTTCAGTTTGCTAAAAATTCTCCAAATAATGTGTTCCAACAAATTCAACCTGCAGAGCTATTACACTATGTGATAAGTACGAGGATGTGTTTTCATGTACAATTGGTATTAATGATACTAAATGTGGATGGTTACCAGAAGGTAAATGCAAAGATTACACAGCATGCAGTGATGCTAATGGTGCCAACTTATCAGCATGTGCTAGTTGGGGTTCCACTTGTGTTTCAGATGGAACCAAATGTGTTGATAAAGGAACTTGTTCTTCATATCTAACCCCTTCAGCTTGTGATAATGATGGTACTGATGGAAAATGCTAATGGACTGGAACATCCTGTAGATTGAGAGAATGTACAGATAATGCTGCTACTACTGATTCCGAATGTTTAGCTTATGTTGTTAAAAGTGGACTCTGTACAACTGATGGAGCCAAGTGTGTTCCTAGATCCACATGTGGTTCTTATCAAAGTGAAACAGCTTGTACAACTGGATAAGATGGAGTTCCATGTATATTTGATTTACCAGTTGGAGCAACCACAGGAACTAAATCATGCAGACCAAAAGAATGTACAGATATCAAAGGAGTAACTAACGATGCTTGTATTGGATAAATTCCAAACAAAGCTTGTGTTTCTAATGGAATCAATTGTGTAAAATAAGACACATGTGCCAATTATAAGAATAAACTATCATGCAAAGCAGGAGGATCTGATGGCAAATGTGCATTTAATCCAGCACCAACTGTTGCTGATCCAAATAATGGAACATGCTAATAATTCAAATCCTGTGAAACTGGAAATAATGATAAGGATGCTTGTGATAGTAAATCAAAGGCATGTAAATGGTCATCAACTACTACTGGAACTACTACTACAACTAGTTGTAAACCTATGGATTGTCCAGGAGTTGCCTCAGGTACTACTTGCAATCCATTCCAAAGTTTCGATGGTGCATCAAGTACCATTTGTGTATTAGTCAATAATTAATGTACAGTTGGTGATCCATCCACTCTTACAGTAGATTAATGCTATAAGACATAAACACTTTACTCATATACTTGGAATGAATCAACAAATAAATGTGTTTCATGCAAAGCTTCCACTAACAATAACAATAATACAACAAATCCAAACACCACCGACCCAGGTACTAATACTGATGATAATGGATACATATTGGGTGTAACAATTCCATTGGCTATTTTGGGAATCTTTGTTTGATTTTGATTTAAAAATTTATATAGGGAAAAATTAAGATATATTAATAAAAAAATTCATTTCTCACAATTTAATTTTAAATAGAATTTATTCATTATAAATTCCCACTTAATTGAGTTGTTTTATTAAATGATAAATTAATTATTTATTTCTGAAATATAATTACATATTGAGTTTCAGACTAGATTTCATTAAATTATTATAATTAAGATCTTTCAATAAATTAACAACATATAATTGTATTTTATTAAGAGATATATGAGATTCGAAAATTTAGTTTGTTAATGTAATCTAGTATAGGATTTAATAAAAGATAAATGGAACATAATCTTAGTCAAAAGATCTCTAATATAATGAAAAAGTGAATTAGAGGAGATCCAATTTTCAGAATCTCAAAAATTACCCAAAAAATTGAGTAGAAACAAAAATAATCATTTGAATACTTCTTTTAAGTAATTTTTGGTGAAGTAAATTATTTAAAAATTACTTAAATATGGATTTGGATTAATTTAATTTTGAATATTATCAATGTGTAATTGGAAATAATCTTTGGTGGAGATTTAACATATTGAAAAATTAATGTTGATAATTTTAATTTAAATATTCAATACTTTTGTAATAATTAGGAAAGAAATTTGATAATTTGAACCTAGAAGCAAAAATAAATATTTAAGTAATAAAAATAAAAAATGTAAGAATTATTATTAAATATGAATTCAAATATGAATTATATCATTTTTTTATCTGACTTGGAATTCTTGATTTTAAAAATCCCAAGTTATAAAATATTTTTCATCTGAACTTAAAGCTGCAAAATTCCAATTAGTACTAAATGGTATAATCTATTATATTCTAAATTCTTCATTATCATCCATTTTTATGAAATATATTCTATATTTATGTCTTACTATAAGCAAACGAGAAATATCAGAATATATTGATTAAAAATAATGAAAGTCATAATTTCCTTATCCTAATATTATTTTATTCTTTAATTCAAATAGGTTATTATTAGGATTCATTTAAAACAAATATAATTATCCATCACTAGTAGGTTACCATGTTAATTTATCATGATCTATAAAACATATTTTGGTTCCATAATCTTCATTTCTTATATGTTAAAATTTTTTCCATTATAATTAATTATTTGTTGATATTCTTTATTGTCTCCAAAATGTTATAATTTTATTTGCAGAACATGAAGCTAATAAGTCTGATTTAGAATTTTCAACAACACTATAAATTTATCCTGTCATACATTTCAAAGTCTCTTAACATTTCCATCCATTATTTTCACCCTAAGTTACCCAAATCTTGATTGTTCCATCTTCACTAGATGATATGATTGAATCATCTTTCTTACTTATTATAAATGCACTAACTCTTCCTTTGTGTCCAACTAATTATGTATTAATTTTCCAAGTATTTTTCTAATATTCCCAAACCAACATAGTTTCATCACTTCCACCAGCAACAAGAAAATTAGATTATAAACCAAATTTAATTATTCTGATTACCTAATTACCTTTTAAAAATTATGGATTTGTAATTTAACCATTCTTAAATTCCCAGATCTTTACATCATTTTTTGATGCAGCTGCTAATAAGTTCCCTTTCTTATTAAATGCTAATGCTCCTCCCCATTTTCTTTATTTTTATTTTGATATTAATTCATAATTTATATTACTTCCTTCAATAATTTCTTCAACTTATGTTATATTTGTATTTTCCAACAATTCCTCTTAATAAACATCTTGATCCATTATATATATATTTTTTTTTTTTAAATTGAAGTTGATTCTTTTATATAATTAATAAATCAAATATTAAAAAACATAATAAAGAATCATGTATTGAACTTACTAAATATCGTAGAGAAAAATATATAGGTTATTAATTATTAAATTAAGTTAGTTAGAATTATAGAAGTTGATGAGATTAAGCAAAATGATTTGTAATCAAGAATTTAAAAAAAATTTTTTATTTCATTAATTAATTAAATTATTAATATTTTTTATCTCAGATTTTATATGTAAAAAGGTATATATGGTTTTTCAGAATATAAATAAATGATTATAACTGATATAAATTTTTAGATATATATACTTTAGACAAATGAATTAGGTTATATCATTAATTGTAAAATCTACAGGTTGTGATCCTTATTTTAGAATCTATGAAATTAAAAAACATATAGAATTTTTTCAGAATTAATAATTTATAAACAAAATAGAATAATAAAATTACTATTCAATAGAATAATATTTTTTTGTTTAAATATCTAAATGATTCATCGTTGCATTAGTATTACATTATTTTAGTTTAAAGATGTCAGTTTCTAGTGTACCAAAAGGAGGACTCAATTAGGGAGTAATTGTACCTTTAATATTCTAATGCCCTGGAGATTGTGAATGTAAATCTAGTTAACCAAAAACTTGGTATCATGCAAAATGTGGAGATCCTTCATTCATCACTGAATTTGGTGATATTCTGTGTAAAAATCACTTAAAGGAATGTTCAGGATATTTTTTTTAAGATGCCTTCTTTTAATGCTAAATGTCAAATAAATCTAATACCTGGTATTAGTATAAATCTCAGACATTTTTATTGTTGGCACTTTCATTTGTTATAAATGCTGCAGAATTTATTCTTGAAAATAATGATTTAAATAATTTTATTAACCAAATACTTAAATAAGTACATAAGAGATGGCATAATTGATAAGTTAGTAATATATTTATGTTATTATCTTTTAATTATTAATCTAAAATTAATTTGATGTTATTTTATTAATTCAACAAGAGTGTGTTGTTATTAAATGATATTCTTTTAACTAGAACCATTATATTACTATTATTTATTATGTAAAAATATATATCTTTATGTGTCATGATGAAATCGAATATCTTAAAATAAAAAGAATAATTTATTATAGAATTAATTTGTTTATATTGATATAATATCACAGTGATTTAATAATGGAAAATTAAATATCCAGAATATAATTAAAAAAGGTATAACAAAAAGAACTTAAAATTATAGATCAAATTAGAATATTGAATAATATCAATATAATCAGCTCTTGTTTAGGAATGAGAATTAGATATTAAGAAATAAAACCCTTAAAAAAATAATTAAATTTATCCAATAAATTATTATCTTTATGAATAATAAAATTAATTATATTATATTTCTTCATATCCTTAGATATAGAAAAAATAAGATTAGATATTTGAATTCAAATTAATAATTTAATATCGTAATTTAATAAATTTAGGTTCAAATAATTATTAATAATTTTCATTATTTTATTAATTATGAATTAATCATAAAAAAAAAATAATTAGTTTGAGAATAATATAGAAATAGAGATACCTAATTCTCCTAAAAAATATTAAAATAATTCTCTTTAAAATAAATCGTAAAATAGTTAACAAGAATAAGAATAAATACAATTTTTATAATCATGTATACGATAACTATTGTTACAACCAGACTATAAATAAATTGATAAAGATGATGATTTTTTTGAAAGAATAAAGTAATAAATTAGTGATTTTTAAAATATCAAGGACAAATCAGATTTCATTAATTCTTTAAAATTAGAAATAAGTAATAGAAGAAAGTAATAAAATTTGAAAGAAGTATAATAACAAAAAAATTATGAAAAAAAAATAGAAAAATTAAAACACCATTTGAAAAATCTGAAGGAGAAATATTAAGAATTATACTTCTAACTATCTTAATATAAAGATAAAAATGATAATTTAGTGATGGAGTTAAAGACATAATAGGATTAATTTCAAGAAATAACGATATTGTAGTAAATAGAAAATATGAGTAAAAACTCTATAAAAATTGAAGTAGATGTTGCAGAGTTTAAGGAGAATATCTAAAAACTTAATATGTAACGATAGTAAACAATTGATAAAATGAAAAATTTATTCAAAGAGTTTTAATCTACTAATAAATAATCAAAGACAAAAAAGGTCAATAACATAAATGAACAAGGAATTTACAACATAAAAAACTTAATTAAAGATTCAATTAAATCAATTTCAAATATGGAATAGAGCATAGACAGTTATAAAAAAGAATTAAAATAAATGTAATAAAATAAAAATAATAAAGAATATCATTTATTGGAAAAATTAATATAGTAATTGGAAAATAATTAAAGTTGTTTTATTCATGTTAGACAAATTTTTGAGAAAATATTAACTATCTTAATGTTATTTGGAACTTTGAATTAACAACTATATAAAAATACTAAAGAGCTTGAACAATAATTGTTAAGTTTAAATAATAAAAATAATGAATTTGAAAAATAAATTGAATTATTATTGAATGAATTGAATGAACAAGATTAAGAAAACAACGATATTATAGAAAAAGCAACTTATCCATAATCAAGTAAATTAGGGATACAATCTGTTAATTATTAACCCAAATTCTATTATTAATTCATTGATTAAATAAGGGTTAATATAGTGAATATGGTTCGTATAAATTTACAATTTTTTTTTGATTGGAATTTCAATAATAATTTTCAAATAGCAAATTCTTAATTACTAGAAAGCACAAAGAGTTTTAATATTAGTTTACAAGAACCAAATAGATTGATTGAATTAGATAGTATGGAAAAATAGTTGAAAAAGAGTGTGGGTTTTGTTTAACAGATTTATTCATAATTTCCTTAATAAACTGTAGTTAATTAGTATAATTAATAAAGTTTATAATAATTATTGAAAATTTTGTAAACGATCTAAAATTATAAGAAAGAAATTGAGACTCATAAACAAACTAATTAAAATACCTATTGAATAAATTAATATTAAAAAATTAATNTAAAATTTGAAAGAAGTATAATAACAAAAAAATTATGAAAAAAAAATAGAAAAATTAAAACACCATTTGAAAAATCTGAAGGAGAAATATTAAGAATTATACTTCTAACTATCTTAATATAAAGATAAAAATGATAATTTAGTGATGGAGTTAAAGACATAATAGGATTAATTTCAAGAAATAACGATATTGTAGTAAATAGAAAATATGAGTAAAAACTCTATAAAAATTGAAGTAGATGTTGCAGAGTTTAAGGAGAATATCTAAAAACTTAATATGTAACGATAGTAAACAATTGATAAAATGAAAAATTTATTCAAAGAGTTTTAATCTACTAATAAATAATCAAAGACAAAAAAGGTCAATAACATAAATGAACAAGGAATTTACAACATAAAAAACTTAATTAAAGATTCAATTAAATCAATTTCAAATATGGAATAGAGCATAGACAGTTATAAAAAAGAATTAAAATAAATGTAATAAAATAAAAATAATAAAGAATATCATTTATTGGAAAAATTAATATAGTAATTGGAAAATAATTAAAGTTGTTTTATTCATGTTAGACAAATTTTTGAGAAAATATTAACTATCTTAATGTTATTTGGAACTTTGAATTAACAACTATATAAAAATACTAAAGAGCTTGAACAATAATTGTTAAGTTTAAATAATAAAAATAATGAATTTGAAAAATAAATTGAATTATTATTGAATGAATTGAATGAACAAGATTAAGAAAACAACGATATTATAGAAAAAGCAACTTATCCATAATCAAGTAAATTAGGGATACAATCTGTTAATTATTAACCCAAATTCTATTATTAATTCATTGATTAAATAAGGGTTAATATAGTGAATATGGTTCGTATAAATTTACAATTTTTTTTTGATTGGAATTTCAATAATAATTTTCAAATAGCAAATTCTTAATTACTAGAAAGCACAAAGAGTTTTAATATTAGTTTACAAGAACCAAATAGATTGATTGAATTAGATAGTATGGAAAAATAGTTGAAAAAGAGTGTGGGTTTTGTTTAACAGATTTATTCATAATTTCCTTAATAAACTGTAGTTAATTAGTATAATTAATAAAGTTTATAATAATTATTGAAAATTTTGTAAACGATCTAAAATTATAAGAAAGAAATTGAGACTCATAAACAAACTAATTAAAATACCTATTGAATAAATTAATATTAAAAAATTAATATCATTATTAACTTATTTTATAGATAATTGATTAAGTATAATATTGAAATAAATATTGTACATAAAGATTATTATATAATGAATTAAATGATTAAAAACAACTGATGCTCATAGATCCATAAAATAAGCTAATTCAAAGCTAGATTATGGATTTGACCATGTAATTATATATATAATGAATTTAGGAAAAGAATCCAAGGATTGTGGGTGTAAAGGATTACAATTACTCATGCACAAAATTATAATATAAGGAAGATGGTAAATTGTTTCTATCATTTACTTGTTTTAATTTTAATTAGATATTCAGTAGAGCAGGTAACTACATGATTGACAAATATTGTAAGGGTAATTACTTATTTATAAAGTATAGATTACACTAAAGAGGCTACAGAGGTTGGATTTCATTTGACATTTTCATTTGATAATTAATATGCCAAAGAAGAGCCTAAGATTCCAAAGAATGCAACTGAAGCTGAAAAAGCTGAAATTTAAGAGCTTAAATTATAGATAAGAGAAGAAAATCAGAAATTATTTGAGAAGGTCACTAAGGATTTCTCATAAATAAGAAGAAACCTCTATGCAGCTGTATTTGAGTAGGCATTTGATCAAGTCAATAAAGGAGAAACTTCTCCTAAGTTTAAATATCAAAGTAGAGAGAATGAAGTTGTTTATGCTATTCCTGATAAAGATGTTTTGAATATCGCTTTGAAATATCATTTTCTGATAATGTAGATAGAACATTAGCTACTCTTATAATTACAAAGATAATTTAATTAATTAGTTGAATAAAATAAATAAATATTTTATTCACAAATGATTGTATCAATATCATATGTAAATATTTTCACCATAATGAAATATTAATTATAATTGATATTTTTTTTGAAAAGTATATCAGAACCATTTAACTATTAATTTTTATATGTTATCAAATTAGACACAATAAAAATTTACAATTATTTGTAAAATAAACATATATTAAAATAATTAATGTTTATTGATCAACAATTCACTATCCTACCAATATTATTAATTCTGAAGTACTTAATAAAATCAAATATATCATCCATCTTGATAATAGTATTTTCAATTTGCAATCATTATTCAGAAAAATATGCACTCCTTAATAAAAGGATACTTGATGTCATAATAATATATCTAAAAGACAAAAGTATACAATATTAATTGGATAATGATAATCCTTAACTTTTGATATAAGACATTTTTGATGTTATTTGATTTTCAGATGCTTATGCTATTTAAAGGATTTAAAACTTATATCTATTTAATTTACTGATCATCCACTGATAAAAAAATATTAAATATTACTTTAAGATATCAGATTTACCAAAAAGGATTACTTAATTAATATAATTACTAGTAAATAAAGCAAAAGTGTATATAAATATTTAATCACAATTTTAGAATATAATATAAATATTATGGAATTAATTATTAGATTAATCTATATTATTAATAATTTTTTTCAATTTCAAACAAAGAATTGAATTCCAAAAAATATTGATGTGAAGTGAGTGGATTATTTGTAATATGATGTTCAAATATCTTAATAGAGTTTTGAATAAAAAATAGACTTTTTCCCAACAACACATTAATATGTTATCATTTCTAATGAAAATCTTGATCTAGTTTTCTATAAAATTCCTAAAAGCATGTAAGAATACAATTCTTTATAACGATTCTTCATATTAATTGTTGCAGTTGCTAATGATTAAGATAATTCCTTTTTAGCAACTATATTAAAATTATAAAATTTCATCTAACAAAATGAAATAAAATTAATAGAAGATATAAGTCAGCTTTTAACATTTTTTCTTGACTATTTGAACTTTGAGTGGATAAGAAAGAATGTTATTTAATTTAACTTCTAGAATTTTGATATAATTTTCATGTAAAACATAATTTTGCAGAATTTCGTCATCAAATAATTTGTTAATGACGGATTCAACATAATATAAAAAAGATGAATAGATTACTTCAAAAATAAATATTAAAAATGAAATATCTTCCATTAGTGATAGCATTGTTGTGCTTGACTGCATAATCAAGTGAAGAATCTGTATAAAACTTATTGGAATAAAATAATGATTAATATCATATAGAATAAGAAATTGATACTCATAAATCCATGTATGAAAATGAATTTGACATTAAAAAAGAATAGGAGGCTAATACTTTGTTCTAAACTATTGAAAAACGTATATTATTTTATATAATTAAGATGATACTATAGAACAGTCTGTTTTGTTAGATGAATAAAGGAAACCAAATTACAATTTACTTAATGTTACTCATCCAAATACAAAATAAGACTATACTTCTAATAGTTCTAGTGTTAAAAAGATTGATAAATATATTCCATCTAGACTTAAGTTAAAGATTAGAAATAATTAAAATTTAGGATAAGGATAGATCAAAAATAACACTTAAAAGGTTGTATATTATAATCCATAAAATGGAACTTATGAAAATGTAGTAATATATAATAACAATAAAGTCAAATAAAATTAAACTCATTCTTATTATTATTATTATGATAAAGATATCTAGATTAATTTAGAAAAAGATTATGATGATTCTGGTAATGTAGTTTACAGAAACTTCAAATATAATTATTCTTTGGTTATAAACTCAAATTCTTCCGATATAACTTATAATAGTAATTAAGAAGCATTTGGAACACTTGTACTTAACAATAACATATTTTCTGGACAATATAATAAGTAAGTAGTGGATAATGGAGCTATATAATACAATTGGAATGATTATATTGCTTATAATAAAAACAATTCATTTAATGGATAAGCTTAATACTCTAATAAATAAGGAAATTATTCATATGATAAGATTAATTATGGAGGATCTAATTTAAATCAATAAAGTAATTATGATAGAGATAGATAAAACTATTTTAGAGGTGATTATGATTAAGTAAATGGTTCTATGGACCTAAATAATGATAACTTTTAAAGATATGAAAATAAATCATCAGAATTAAATTTAGGATCATAATCTGAAATTTAGATTGAAGGAGACAACTTATTTATATCAAAGAATGGTAATGAATATATTAGTGTATAAAGAAATCAAAGTAGTTCTTATTTTAGATAATAAGATTCATTTTCAAACAATTAATCTGCTGAAGCTACATTTTAATAAAATGGATATCATAATAATAGGATAAGTGGTGATCAATATTCAGTCTCAAACTATAATACTTAATAAAATTATTTAGATACCTAATACGGAAACTATTCTGATAATCAAAATAAAAACTAAACTTCTTTTAATTATAATTTGACTTTAAACAATTAAAATACAAATTCAATCTAAAATTCTACAAATTCTATTGGAATTGAAAACATCTCTTCTATAGATTTAATTGGAGATGAACTAAAAAATACTAATATTTATTATGATTAAATATAATCATAAATAAATGGATAAATTGATGCATAAATTAATAATACTAATGCAAAATTTGATAGTGAACCACAAACTACAGTATACAACATTACCGAATAGGATTCAATTGGTACCATAAATAATTACAAAAATGATAATGATGAATTTGAATTTTCAAGTAATATTTAGACAAATTAGACATAATCAGTAATTGAATAATAAGGATAATAATTTAATTAATTAAGAGGATCAAAGAAATAAGTTTCAGGTTCATGGACATAAATTGAAGTTGCAGAAATTTAATAATTTAATTCAATAATTATTGAATAAGCAATTAATGAAATTAATACTAAGTTTAATCCTTAATAATTTGGATATTATTTTGATTCTATTCTAAATGTTTAAGAATAAATTGTTTCAGGAATTAATTACAAGATTTAATTAAGTTATACAAATCTTGAATTTTAATAATAAATATATCAAGTAATCATTTATTCAATGTAATTTTACTTATTATATTCATTTTTAGTCCTTGGTAAAACTAATCCAATCAAGTTGTCAAATCAATTAGATTCGATTAATTTGAGAATTGAGATAAATTATCATCATATCAATAACCATAAAAATATATTTATAACTTTTATAAAATTATAAACATTCCAATCACTAAATATAGAAATGCTAATTAAATATTTGTTTTTTATAGTTATTTTGTTTCTATTTTTTGCAACTAAGTAATTATTAGTATGTAATTTAACTATTATCGTTATAGTAGCTTTATTATATTTTAATAATTTTATATATATGGTTTTCAAAATAAATGAATTATTAAATGTATTATTCTGATCATTTATAATACAAATTCTATATTGATATATATATAAATAGAAATCTTTATCATATTTAGGATTCCAAAATTTCTTCAAATTTTTTACGTTATTTTTAATTTATAGATCTTATCTAAATTTCGTATTTGTCTATGTAGTATAGTTTAGTATGAAAATTAGACTAAAAACTTTTAGGAATTAAGAAAATGAAATTATATGCAGATAACCCAAAGGAAGTGACGATCAATTAAAATATTTTAAAATGATGATAAAAAAATCAGCATTTTACTAGCTATTATTTTATATAATTTTTTAAACATTTAATTAAAATGTTTAAAGAAAGTAAAATATTTATAATTAAAAAAATAGAATATTTTATAGCCTATTAAAAACGAGTTTAAATATTTTAAAAATATAGTCATATTTAAAAAAAAATGAATTTTGTTTATTGATTTACTTATTTTTATAATCTTAATATAATATATAGAATTGAGACTCATATTATATATTTTTACATTGAATAGACAATAATAAATTTTTAATTATATTCAGAAAAAAATAAAAATAATAGATATTGTATGATTATTACAAAGTATTAAGTCCTAATTTTTTTGGTGATTATATTGGCCAACAATTAAGAAATTTCATAGAAATGTGTTTGTGGACATGTTCGAAGTAAAGCTGAATGCTAGCAATCTGGATTTTGTACTTGGTAAAATGAAAGTTGTTTATTAAACTATGAACAAACAAAAATAAATTTAGATGAGAAAAAAATTGATGATTGTAAATATTTTGCAGAAGATGAGTGCAGAGAATAATATGAATGTAGTTTTTATTTGGGTTTTTGTGTAAACTTTGTAGATTGTAACATTTTCAACTAAGATCATTGTTAATAATCTTCATATAGATGTGTGTCAGATGGTAGAAAGTGTGTAGAAAAATAAAAATGTAGTGATTATAAAACAGAGATAGGATGTGCAAATCAAAATAAAGATGGTGGTTATTGTTTATGGGTATAAGAAATGAAAGATAAATGTAGAGATATTTAGAAATGTGAAGAACTTCCAATATATTTTACAAATCATATTATGTGTTAATAAGGTTTAGATGGATGTACTGTAAATGATAAAGGTTATGGATGTATAAATTAAAAAGACTAATGTATTGAATACTAGAATGATTTTCAATGTTTTTAAAGTAGATAAAACAAAAATAATTGTTTTTGGGATAATAGAAATAAAAAATGTTTCGAAAAAATTTGTGAAAATATACCATTTACTTAAGATTATGAATGTAAATCAATTTTGAGTGAATGTACTACCAATGGAATTCATTGTATTTTAAGAAAATAATGTAGTGATATATAGAATAAATTTGGTTGTATTACTGATATTTAAGGAAATAAATGTGTATTTCATTAAAATTAATGTAAAATAAAGAGATGTGATACAGCTCCAGATACATTTACAAATTATAAACAATGTTAAGATTATGATAATTTTTTGGATTGTGTTACTTCTGAAAATGGAGGATGTAAATAGAGACCTAATGAATGTGAAGGTTATGTTGGTTAAGATGATTGTAAATCAATAGAATAACAAAATTGTATATGGTTTAATAATAAATGTGAAAAAAGAGGATGTTAACATGCTCCAGATCATTATAATAAATAAGATTGTATATAATATGGAAATTGTATAGAAAAAATAGGTGGAGGATGTTAAGTTAGACCAAATAATTGTGAAGAGATTTTATAAGAATAATATTGTGAATTTAATTTTAATCAAGAAAGATGTATTTGGTTAAATGATAGATGTACATTATTAGAATGTAATAAATTAAAACTACCAACTTATTAAAATCATTAAATGTGTTAAAAAGCTAGTTCATTTTGCACATTTAATATAGAGTAATTTGGTTGTGCAGATTATAAATGTGAAAATATTTCTGAAATTGAATATTGTAAAATTGATTCAATTGGAACAGTTTGTACAATCAATAAAGGATGTATTGAAAAAAAATGTAAAACTGCTCCAATAACTTATAATACTAATTAAAAATGTGAAGAATGGTTACCATATTGTACTGTTAATGTATAAGTTTTACAAAATTCAAAAATATTAATTGGATGTGTTAATAAATATGATAAATGTGAAGATGCACTTGAATAATAATGTTATTCTACATTTTCAGGTATTAATTGTAAATGGGATAATATTAATAATAAATGTCTTTATCAATTATGCACAGATGCAGATCCTAATATATATTTAAATAATTAAGATTGTAAATCATATCAAGTTTTAGAGGGTAATTGTATAATAGCATCTTCTGGTTAGGGATGTTAAGTTTGGCCAAATAATTGTGATAAATTGATAAGTGAAATTTAATGTTAATTAAATCTATAAGATGGAACCAAATGTTTCTGGACTGGTAGTGTATGTAAAATATTAGAATGTTCAGATGCTTCTATAATTAATTATACTAATAATATTGAATGTAATTCTTGGATTGATTATTGTATTTATGATTCAATTTTAGGAGGATGTATGAATAGACCTACTTCTATAGATTGTATATCATCTCCTAATGATATTATGTATGATACACATTAAGAATGTTAAGCATGGAATCCTAAATGTACTGTAGCTTCTTCATTTTAATCAATAGGATGTGAATTAAAGAAATAAAATTGTTCTGATTACATTAGACAAAGAAATTGTAAAACAAATTTGAATGGTTAAAATTGTTATTGGAGTGATTCTAATCAGCAATGTTATTTAGAATCTTCTGATAATGATTGTTAGAAGAGAATTTATGGAGATTTAACACATCAAGATTGTGAAAACTTTTTATCAAAGTGTACAGTAAATCACATTATTAGTTCTTGTTAACCTCTTTCTTATTATTGTGATTATTTATATGAATAACAATGTGTAATCACAATGTTTTAATAACCTTGCAAATGGGATATAGTAAATGGATTATGTAAAGATATATTATGTAATGAAAATATAACAGCTTAAACAGAAGCTGAATGTTTAAATTTTAGAAAATTTAATTAATGTCAATTAACTATTTAATCTAATGGTTCATTAGGACCTGGATGTGAGTCAAGACCATATAATTGTGAAGAAGTTACTAATCCTATTAAATGTAAATTAACACTAACAAAATGGAATTATAGATGTTATTTTTATGATAATTATTGTAGAGCTGTACTTTTTGATAGATGTGAATTTATTAAAGATAGTAAAAGCAATGAGTTTTGTCAATTTTACCATCCATCCTGTATTCTATAACCAAGTGGATAAGGATGTTATACTTTTGAAAATTGCAAATATTTGTCTAGTAAACTTTGTAATAGTGCAAATACTAAATACAATTATAAGTGTTATTATTAGGACTATTGTCGTATTGATGATAAATGTTCTAATAGATACTTATCAGAAAATTTTTGTTAAGGCAAGAAAACCTCATTAGGATAAATGTGTTACCTTCGCTCTTAGTGTTCTACTTCTTGTTATTAAGGTTATTGTGGTACTTATTGTGATTATACTTGCGAATTATAAATTGAAAAAAAGTATCTTTCATTTAATTCATTTGCATCATTTTCAGAAAAGAGTTAAGCATGCTAAGATTATTCATCAAATTATAAATATGATACTTATTGCAATTGTTGTTAAGCAATAACTTCATGCATTTAATAAACTGGTGGATAATAAATATGTAATAATACAGTTGTTAATTAATAATGTGGATATAATTTCTCTAATAATATTTGTGAATCTAGAATATGCAGACATTTAACTTATACAAATTATTCTGTACTTACAGATTAAATTTGTTATAATTGGATATTTAATTGTATTCTTGATAGTATTGGTTGTACTAATTATACAGATGATTGTACAACGATAAAATTAATTCAATAATGTTATTAATTTTCATGTCAATGGTAAGCTGGTAAATGTGTAAAATATATTGATTGCCAAATTAATACAACAGCTGTTACAAATTATGAATGCCTCTTATTTAATTCATCATATTGTAGATTAAATTATATTAAAGGTTAAGGATGCGCCTTTTATAATTGTGGTTAGATTTACGACTAAACAATATGTAATTAATCAAATCTTGTTGATGGATAAAATTGTATATGGATAAATTATTAATGTAAGCAAAAATTTTGTCCAGACTATACAATAGAATCTGACTGTGAAAATTCTTATGGTTTTTATGGGAAACAAGTAACTAAATGTTTTTGGTGTATACATAATACTATATAATGCTCCAATAACAAATATTGTAGTTTAAGTAGTTTAAGTTCTCCTTAATCACATTAAGATTGTTAAAATTAAAATATAGAATACACTATTTCTTTTTAAACAGATTATAAATGCACAATCAAAAAATAAAATTGCGAATTTTACGATTACAAAGAAGCTTGTGTTAAAACTTTTGATGGTTTACTTTGTGAATGGATGTCTAATTTATGTGTAAATAAGTGTTAAGCAATTAATATAAATCCAGCTGTAGACTAAGATTGTTTTAATTGGCATTCTAATTGTATGTTAGATCCACTCTCCAAATGCAAACCCTTAAATTGTTCATTGTTATTATCGTAAGGTAACTGTAATATTTACTCTGAAAAATGCTTTTGGAATAATGGATCATGCTATGCTATTAGTACTTGTAACGCATATTAGAATGATTTTGTATGTTCAAATACTTCAAAAAATGCATAAGGTATTCCTTGTTTTTGGAATAATACATAATGTGTAGAAAAAACATGTTCCAATAATCCTAATACACCATCATCTCACTTAGATTGTAGTAATTGGCTTCCTAATTGTTATTATGATATCCAAATACATTAATGTATTGAAGATTGTACAACTGCTGATAATTCATATATTACTCATGATTTATGTGAATCTTACTATCATAGCAAAATTTGCACAGTAAAATTAGATGTAATTTAATGTGTTGATCTTCCTATTTCATGTGATTTAGCATAAAAGTCATAATGTTATAAAGATAGAGATGGAAACCAATGCTACTTTTAAGTATCATAAAATAGATGCATAGTTTTAACATGTTCAAATTTGGAATCAGATTTTACTAGTCATGATTAATGTAACTAAAAATTATAAGAGTGTACAGTTAATGAAACTTTGAATGGATGCTAATAATTGAATAATTGCAGTAGTTATTTAATTTAAGAATAATGTTAAATTGATTAAAATAATATTTAATGTGAATGGATTAAGAATCAAAATAAATGTACTATTAAGGAATGCTCTACAGCCTAATTGATTGAATATACAGCATATAGTTGTCGTTAGTATTATGACGATTAATGTACTGTAAATATGAATTTAGATGGATGTGAAATTGGTTAATCTTTTTGTAGAAATTACAATTATAAATAATGTATAAGTGATGGTTAAATTAATTTAAAAGGAATAAATTGTTTCTGGAATTAAGAGTATAGTAGTTGTTAAGAAAAGATATGTGAAAATGGACCATCGACTATTACATCTCATACTGAATGTGCAATCTTCCTTTCTACTTGTTAAAAAGGTGGTTGTCGTATAAAAAATTGTTTTGATTACAATTATTCTATGGACTCAGCTTGTGCAAATATATTTGAAGACAAAAGATGTGTAACAAATGGATATTAATGTATTTTAAGAAAGGCTTGTGAAGATGTAAATATAAGTGATGGATGTACATTTGATATTAATTTAAATCCTTGTGTTTGGATTGATGATAAATGTTATACTAAAACCTGTGAAACTGCATAGCTTTCAATTACTACATATAAGGAATGTAATTCATATTTGAAAATTTGTACAGTTAAATAAGATGGAGGATGCACTAAAAAGCAGAGTTGTAAGGATTACTTAATTCAAGAAGCTTGTTAAACTGATAGTCAGAATTTTGAATGTATTTGGGATATCCATCTAAATTAATGTTTTTCCAATTAATGTATCCCATTTTGTGGTGATGGTATTCTTACAGGTTAGGAGGAATAATGTGATGATGGCAATTATTTACCATATGATGGTTGTTATAAATGTACAGTTCATTGTCCATAGGGATGTAATATTTGTATTGGCAAATAATGTTAGGAATGTTATTAGAATGGATGGTAATTGGTTGAAGGTATTTGTAAATCAAAATGTGGAGATGGTTATGTAAGAGGTAATGAATTATGTGATGATGGAAATGATATTCCATATGATGGATGTTTTTAATGTACTTATTAGTGTCATCAGAAATGTGTTGATTGTTATTAAGGATAATGTATTTAATGTGAAATTGGATATGTAGAAGATGGACCTTTATGTTATAATATTTGTGGAGATGGATATTTTGTAGATATATTAGAATAATGTGATGATGGAAACCTTTAAAATAATGATGGGTGTAATGAAAATTGTTTGGTTGAAATAAATTGGCAATGTTAAACAGAATATGAAATTAGTTTTTGTTTTTACTAAATTCTACCTAAAATAATTCTAACTAGATTATCAAAAACAGATACAAGTATTCAAGAGTTTAAATTATCATTTTCTGAATTAGTATCTTTAAATTAAAAAGGTATAAATGAAGAATAATTTCTATAGTTGATTTTTATAGAAATTATAAATGCCTAATCTAATGAATATGAAATTGAAATCAAATCAATTATTTCTATTTCTACATAATTGGCAGATGTAGCTTATAAAATAATTGTCAATTTTAAAACTAATGTTTAAAATCCTATTTTAAAAGTTGAATTATAAAGTGATAATATAGTAAATCACTAAGGCAATACCTTATTCTCAAAAGAAGTAAAATTACCATTCAGGTCTCCTTACAAGATCTCAGATGAACAATAATAACTTATGTCTAAGACTTCCATATTTAGTAAATTAATATTGTATATCATCATTAGTATAAGTGGAATATCTTTTTTATTTGGTAATTTAGAAATTTTATGGAATGTTCTTGATATGCTTTAATAATTATCTTATATGAAATTTCACAATATTTAATTTCCAGAAAACTTATAAATGTATTTTGAAATCTTTACTATTGGTTCATTTACTCCAATCATTGATTAATTGTAAATAGATCAAAAATTACAAAATATATTTAATTTTTAACCTCCAATTATTTTTGCTAAATGGAAATTTGAATTCTATTAAATTAATTTAAACTTTTTGGAATATTTTTAAACATTTGTAATTATGATGATAATTGGATTTACTTATTTAATAATGTCTTATATAATTTATAAAATTTTAATACTTTTTAAATATTAAAATTGGCCAACAATTTATCAAAAAGATTTTTTATTTAAAATAGTTAAATTGATATTTTTAATTTAGAGTATTGCACGAAAATATTATTAATATTTTATATACTCTGGAATTATTAGAATTTATACATCAAATTTTTATGAATTAACCTTTGCATCTATTTTATAGATTGTAAATTTTAATACATCAACTACTACAAATAAAATTACTTCATATTTAGCTCTTTTTGTATTTATTAGTAATTTATTTGTGATTGCCCAATTGTTCTATTATCTTAGCATAAAAAACAGAATTGCTAAAAATTTATCAGTGTTGGTAGAGGGAATTAAGAATTAAGCAAAATAAGGAGCTAAATAATACTTTACAATATTGTTGATGAAAAAAACCTTATTTATCATAAATTTAGTTGTTTTTTAAGGTCTTATGGGAATTTAAAGCCTAATTACTGCTTGTCTATCTGGAATATTCTCCTGTTATTGTTATATCTATAAGCCTTTTGAGAATAATTTTGAAAATATTAAAATTATTATTATAGAAGTACTAATTATGTTGAATGCTCTTTTTTTTTCTGTATATGAAATTTTGCAATTTAAACAAGATAAAGAGTTAGCTTAAAATTTAGGTTGGATTAATATAATTGGTTTCACCCTTATTCTTATTTTAACCTTAGCAATTGATATTTATCAATAGGTTTTAAAATATAGGAAAATAGTGATTGATAAAGTCAGGCTTTTTTTAGGAATCAATCAAAATGTATCAAAGAAATCAGTAAAACTGTTTTTTTGAGATATTATTAAATAAATTATAGTTAATTTTATAATTCAAATTTTTGCTGTTTGGTTTTATAATTATATTTTAAATTAGTATTTTATAAAAAAATCATTATCTATATGAAAATAGGTTAGTCTATGTTATCTTAATAATTATTGTATACTATTTATTGTTTTATCTAACAAGTGATTCTAAAGGTTGAACTTACTAATTTAACTAATATTATAAGAAATAAAAATAACAATTAAAATTTTTAAATATTATTAATCAATTTGCTTTTAGGTTTTTCCAAAAAAGAAAATGTATATATAACAATATAATTCCATATCTTTTTACTTGAGGATCAAAATTCGTTTTTTTATTTTAACTTAAAAATATTTAAATAATATAAATACTATTTAATTATAAAATTTAATTAAAAACTAAATCCCCATATTGATTTTACAACTTTAATTGATATTATTTCCATAAGACTGAAATAATGCATTATTAAGATGTGCAAAGAATCATAGAGTTAAAAAATTTATGATAATTAAATTATTGGATTCTTATTTTTAGAAATTTTCATTATTCTATACAAAACCTTCAATACAGGAAAATACTTTTTATAGTGATAAAAGTATTGAAAATTTCTTTAAAAAATAAATTTTATAATCAAAAATTACCTAATGAATCTGCTTTCTAGATCAAGAATCACTTTGGATGATATACTAACATTTTCTCATATTATCCATTGAAAAAACCTATAATAATGAGAGCTTCATCATCAAAATATGGCTTAATGAACAAGTTCCACAATTAAATAATATTCCTTATAGATTTAAACATAAGATTTTATTACATATAAGGATATTTATTATTTAACTATTTCCGTATGATATTCGATACTATCTTAATCAGATATTAGTACTCCTTAATATTTAAAGCAATTATCTCCTGCTACTCATTTCCTATCCTATTTTTCCTCTGCTTTCTTTATTTGTAACATAATTAGATTTAGAGATATTTTAGGGTTATACTTCTAAGCTAATCAGATAAATTTATTCAACAGCCAACAAGCTTATGGACTAAAAGTTGAATAACTTATATATATCCGAAATCTTTGTTCAAAAAAGTTATTTAAAACTAAAGTTTGCTTTAACTTTCTCTCTACTTAGTTTTCTAAAAAATATATCAATCTAATTTTTTACTCTAGATTCTCTATGAATTAATCGTAGTATATATCAAAAGAAGAAAGGAGTCAAGATCGATTCTAACGAACTCCTTTTTAAAAGATGATCTTCTTTTTATCAATAGAATCATAACACCATTCAAGAGCTTATAATTCATTTGGATTTAAGTAATCTTTAAATTTTTCTTCCTCTCTTAACACCCTATTTTATATGAATTCCAGAATTCTAAGAAAATAGTTAAATTACCTGACTGTTTTTCTTGACCTAAAATTAGAGTTCCCAAACCAAAAAGTCAATATGCAATGAGACTTAAGGAACATTGGTTAGAATTATCCAAAAGGAGGATAACTTAATACATTTTGTTAAGAGATACTAATCTCATAGAGAAAATATAATCAAGTAAAGGTATCATTTCAAAGTTGAGATGCAACTAAAAATCTTCATTAAAGAAGCTTGTAAAATTTAGATCATAAGATACTAATTTCTTGTTATTTCTTGTCTTCAGTTATAACGTAAACAATCACATTTATAAACTAGCTATTCTTGTTGTGTTAATTTAGACCTTGAATGCACAAAGTCAACACTTTCTAATGATCAAAAACTAGATCTCTTTTGTAAACTGGATAGAATTTATTATAGAACCCTTTTTTTCAAATTTGATATAATAAACGGTGAAAATATAAAAGGCTCTAGAATTGCTTCCAAATCTCTATTAAATCCTTAAGAGATTTTATATTCACAGTTGTTAAAGAATTTAGAAAGGACACATAAATTAGTTTCTAATTTATAGAAATCTAATTGATTATTCCAAAATTATATTTTTAGCAAAAAGTTTTGAGATTTTCTAAATTAATTCATTCTTGATCGTTTTATGTTTTATGACATTTTAACTGCTTTTCATTACACTTATAGATATAAGAAAATTTATGTCAAACCCAATTAAGACTCCATTTTTAATAAATATTATAAATAATTTATACATAATTAAAGTTTATAAGAAAAAATTGGATTTTTTATTTGAAGATAGCCTTAAATGTAATAATTACTGAAAAAAGCAAATATTCAAAAACATAAAATACTAAATAATGATAAATCGAAATTATTTGTTTAAGTCATTATACAAAAAACCCCAAACTTGATATTATAAAAAAATTAAATGAAAAAGTATAATATTATTCTTTACTTATTAAAATATTCAATTGTGATATTAATAATAATTATGATATTTTATTTCGCTACACTGCTTATTTTTTTCAATATCAATTTCAACCCATAACCCCTATTTTTTTCCATTTTTATATTGACCTTTATAAGTAATTTATTTAGAATCACAGAATCCATCATCCAAATCTATCCACTTTCCTATCTACATTCCATCTCCTCTCTCATCATAAAAGCCACCACCACTAAAATATTTAAATTAAGCAATAATATTGTTTACATTGATTCATTATTTCCAGCTAAATCCTTATACAAAATATCCCATTTGCCAACTCTTTTACCAATTTTATATTCCCCTTTATAAGTTACTTAACACTCCCTACAAAATCCATCACTTATATCTATCCAATTTCCAATTTTAATGTTATCACTCCCTTCTTCGTATCGCCCTCCACCGCTAACAAGTTTAAAAGTTGGCTCTATATATTACACTTTTTACATAATTTAATCACCATTTTCGTTATTGTAATAAATATCCCATCTACCAAATTTTCTACCATCTTTATATTCCCCTTTTTAAGAAACTTTAGAATCTTATTTAAACACATCACTTATTTCAATCCACTACCCAATCTTCATTCCTGCCCGTTATTAATCATATGATCCACCACCGCTAAAAAGATTTGAGAGATATATAAAAAAATTATTTACATCTTTATATTTTATTTGTTTTCTCCATCCTCTTTAAACCAAATATCCCATTTACCAACTCTGTAACCATTTAAATATTCACCTTTATAAGTTACTTAGCACTCCCTATGAAATCTATCACTTATATCAATCCACTATCCAATCTTAATGTTATCACCTCCTTCTTCATATTGTCCTCCACCACTAGCAATATTAAAATTTCATGCTTTATATTAGGTTTTTTACATAATTTAATCACCATTTTCGTTATTGTAGTAAATATCCCATCTACCAAATTTTCTACCATTTTTATATTCCCCCTTATAAGTTACTTTAGAACCATCTTTAAATCCTTCCCTTATATCAATCCATTTGCCTTCCTTGATACCATCACCTCTTTCATCATATTATCCACCACCACTAACATTTTTTAAATTTAGCACTTTATATAGTATTTTTTACATTAGTTAATCATTATTAAAAATGTCCCATCTACCAAATTTTCTACCATCTTTATATTCCCCTTTTTAAGAAACTTTAGAATCTTATTTAAACGCATCACTTATTTCAATCCACTATCCAATCTTAATGTTATCACCTCCTTCTTCATATTGTCCTCCACCACTAGCAATATTAAAATATCACCCTTTATATTAGAATTTTTACATAATTTAATCATCATTTCCATTATTGTAATAAATATCCCATCTGCCAAATTTTCTACCATTTTGATATTCCCCCTTATAAGTTACTTTAGAATCTTGTTTAAAACTATCACTAATTTCAATCCACTGCCCTGTTTTCGTTCCTGCCCCTTATTCATCATATGATCCCCCACCACTAAGAAATTTTGAGAGATATATAAAGAATTATTTACATCTTTATATTTTATTTGTTGTCTCCATCCTCTTTAAACCAAATATCCCATTTACCAACTCTTTAACCATTTAAATATTCACCCTGATAAGTTACATAAGAATCCCTATGAAATCTGTCACTTAAATCAATCCACTTTCCAATTTTGAGATCGTCAGTTCCTTCATTATATAATCCCCCACCACTGAAAATTTTGTTTTCGCCCTTTGTAAAATATTTGTTACATTATTTGATCACCATTTCCATTATTATAGCAAATGTCCCATCTGCCAAATTTTTTACCATTTTTATACTCACCATGATAAGTAAGTTCAAAGTTATCACAATAATGTTCACTTAATTCAACCCATCTTCCAATTTTTTGACCAGTTCCCTATTTATCATATTCTCCTCCTCCACTAAATTAAAAATTCTATATCATACTACATTTTTTAATTATTCCAATACATCTTCCAATCACCAATTCTTTTATCTTCAAAATAATCACCTGCTTCAGTAATATTCCTTCTACTAAAATAATTATTAATAAATAGATTACTCCCAATAATTTTCACATAAATCAATCCACTTACCTTCCTTTTATCCAAAATTATTGTATAAACCACCCCCAACCTATTTTCCCTTCCAGTAATAATTCCATTATTAACATTTATATCCATTTATTCCATATTATCCTTTAAATTCCAAATATTTCATCTGTTCTAGATTGAGCAATATTTATTCATTTTTAGATCCTAAGATATATTTTTCACTAGAAAATAACAAATAAATATACACTCTAAGAATCTATCCATCTTTTTTATAAATTTTATCCCTATTTATTTAAGTTATGAGATGAAATTGTGTTTTCACTAATTGATTATTGAATTACTGAAATCCTTCAAGTGTTTTGATTTTCTCTTCTTTTTTTTGAAAAGTACTACATTTAATTAAATTTTCATACTAAAGATTATAAATTTCTCCAATTAAATGACTAGTTTTAAATAGATATTGTATAAGGTCTTCTAAAAATTATCCTGCTTTTTAGATTACACATGAAATCTTTTTTTTTATGTTAATCCATTCATTAAAAAGATTATTTTATAAAAAATCTACAAGAAAATCTAATTCTTATTAAGAAATTTCCATGGGATTCAAATCTTTGTTAATCAGACTAATAAATTTATTATCATATGATGTTAAATCGTCAGAAATTCTTTTAATAGAATCCCGCTTACTATTAAATATCAAATANGATCACCATTTCCATTATTATAGCAAATGTCCCATCTGCCAAATTTTTTACCATTTTTATACTCACCATGATAAGTAAGTTCAAAGTTATCACAATAATGTTCACTTAATTCAACCCATCTTCCAATTTTTTGACCAGTTCCCTATTTATCATATTCTCCTCCTCCACTAAATTAAAAATTCTATATCATACTACATTTTTTAATTATTCCAATACATCTTCCAATCACCAATTCTTTTATCTTCAAAATAATCACCTGCTTCAGTAATATTCCTTCTACTAAAATAATTATTAATAAATAGATTACTCCCAATAATTTTCACATAAATCAATCCACTTACCTTCCTTTTATCCAAAATTATTGTATAAACCACCCCCAACCTATTTTCCCTTCCAGTAATAATTCCATTATTAACATTTATATCCATTTATTCCATATTATCCTTTAAATTCCAAATATTTCATCTGTTCTAGATTGAGCAATATTTATTCATTTTTAGATCCTAAGATATATTTTTCACTAGAAAATAACAAATAAATATACACTCTAAGAATCTATCCATCTTTTTTATAAATTTTATCCCTATTTATTTAAGTTATGAGATGAAATTGTGTTTTCACTAATTGATTATTGAATTACTGAAATCCTTCAAGTGTTTTGATTTTCTCTTCTTTTTTTTGAAAAGTACTACATTTAATTAAATTTTCATACTAAAGATTATAAATTTCTCCAATTAAATGACTAGTTTTAAATAGATATTGTATAAGGTCTTCTAAAAATTATCCTGCTTTTTAGATTACACATGAAATCTTTTTTTTTATGTTAATCCATTCATTAAAAAGATTATTTTATAAAAAATCTACAAGAAAATCTAATTCTTATTAAGAAATTTCCATGGGATTCAAATCTTTGTTAATCAGACTAATAAATTTATTATCATATGATGTTAAATCGTCAGAAATTCTTTTAATAGAATCCCGCTTACTATTAAATATCAAATAGATATCTTTTTCACTTTTGTCAAGTTTATGTAAAAATGGTTTAAAAATTGTTGTTGATTAATTTTAGGCTAGTTCATTATATATGTTTAATTTTTCTGATTTTTCAAGCAGTTATTTGACGAATTCTTTTTTAGATAATATTTGATCATGTGGGATTTTGTGTGTTATAATGCATTCTACACAAACTTTTCTCTATAAATCTCGAATTTGATTGCCAATATAAATTCCTCCAATTTAGAAATTTTAATGCTCTTAACAACATTCATGATTTTAAATCATGCAATAAAATAATAAATATAATTTTTTATTTTAAAAATAGACAATAAATTTAAACTAAAATTATAATTATAAATGAATAATTAAACATTATATTTTGCATAATTTTCAGAATTAGTATAATATAAATCAACAAAGCCTTAAGAGTTAAATGATAAAACTTTACTTAATCTATTATATTCTATTAAATTTTTCATTTTATTGTTTAATGATCGCTAAGTTATTATGATGAGGAAATACAATATAATAATAAATTTCATACTTCATTTTTGACTTAGCATGAATTAATTTCTAATCTATTATTCTAATCATTAAAATAAATTATCTATTATACTTCAATAAAAATCAAATAGCACATTAGATTTTCTAATCTTTTTTTATTGAAAATATGTTAACGGTTACATATTATTAAAAAATTTTGAAATTAAATAAAGCTATTATATATATGCTCTACAGTTTTAGAAAAAGTATATATTATAAATATTATTCTTAGATAATTATCACATTACATAAACATATTTTAAATAGCAATCAATAATTGAATCTTAAAATATATAAAATTTTAATTAATTATTTTTATGATACTTATTTTATTCATACTTCTCTGTAAATCTGAAATATGTTTAGATCCATTAAATTGAAAAAAGACAATAATTTTAGCACTATTTTAATTTTTATTGATCAGGTAAATTAATTTTATTTTTTAGATATATTTATACTATGAAAATGATCAAAATTAAGATATATAAAAGTTTATATATAAATCTAAATTCACTATTCATTATTTTTTAAATGATATTAATCATTGCTTTAGTTTATATAGCAAATCAAAAGGTGATTTATTAGTTTGATGCCAGAAATCAATAAAAAGATGGTAAATTTAGCTGAATCATTTCTATTAGATTGGCAAGGTTTGTCAGATTTCTTTGATTGTGAATAGTTTAAATATTTAGGGCAAACAAGTGATGATCATGGAATTAGCAGATTATTTTTGGATTTAGAATCTCATTAACAATATAGAATAGATGCATTAGTTCTAAAGTACATTTATAAAATAAGAAAAGCATTGATGGTTTAAATGATCCTTAGTTTTATCTAGATAATATTTTGGAAAACCCAGATTTAGAGAGTTCAGTATCATCAATGAAATACTGTGAAGACCCGACTCCTGAAATATTTCATAATGTTACTATAATTAGGTAGCATAACAGAAGAAGTTTGTGGATGAGAATAAAATTACATTATGGGGGATTATTATCATTAAATTTAAGTATCATCTAATGCTAATATGGATGTGTTGGATGTATATAGGTTGATCCAATACATTGTTTAAAATGGAAACTACATTAATATTCATTTAATTAGAAATTGATAAGAAATTATGATGGATGGAACGAAAAATTAGATAACGAAAACGATATCTATTGTGGATTTTTATAATATGTAAAATTTGATATTATAAATTATTTTACTTAACTTCCTCCTCATTAAGATTTATTAATCAAGTTTTTTAAAAAAGATGATGGGATTATAATAATAGATTATATATACGGTTAATAGATGACTACAAATTAATAAAACAATTAAGTTGAAATATTCATAAAAAATCATCCAGATCCTATATTATAATTGATTTTAAGAAATTAAGATCCTTCAAAATAAAGTTCAATAAGAGATTTTGAACTATTTTATACTTAGCCAGAAATAATGTTTCCTAATTTTTATGAGGGTTGTTAAGATTTCATTTTTGATTAATGTTTGAAGTGTCAAAAAGGCTGGATTGAAGATGAATACTTTTTTAGTTGTCATCCTGTATGTGGTGATAAAATCATTCAAGGATAAGAAGAATGTGATGACGGTAATCAAATATCTAAAGATGGTTGTTTTGAATGTTAATTTTCTTGTACTGATTTTTGCACAAAATGTATATTTGGAATCTGTTATTAATGTGAGGATGGATTTTTAATTAATATTAAACATACTTGTGATCCAGTATGTGGAGATGGAATTTTAATTCCATATTCAGTTGAATAGTGTGAGATTTTTGAGGATAACAATTAGAGTGGTTGTATAAATTGTAAATATTCAACAATTAATAATTGTAAAAATGTATATATTTCATAATGCCTTGAATGTTAATCAGGATATTATAGTTAAGGATATGGATGTAATCCTTATTGTGGAGATGGGATTGTTCTTAAATAATTTGAAGATTGTGATGATGGGAATTAAGTACCCTTTGATGGTTGCTATGAATGTAAGTATTAATGTATAGAGGGTTGTAATATTTGTGATTAAGGATAATGTATATTGAAATGTGATTTGGAATATGAATTTGTTAATAATAATTGTCTTTCTATTTGTGGAGATAAAATAGTTACAAAAGAAGAAGAATGTGATGATGGTAATACAATATAATTTGATGGATGTTTTAATTGTAAGTACTCTTGTCCACTTAATTGTTTTGAATGTTATCAAGGTATTTGTTTAAAATGCAATTATGAATATTAATTACTTAATACAAATTAATGTAAAAAATATTTGAATTGTGGAGATGGATTGCTTTAATTAGAAGAGGAGTGTGATGACGGAAATGATTAAATAGCTGATGGATGCATGGATTGTATGATTGAATAGAATTGGGTATGTTCGACAATATTAACAAATTCTCCTACCTAATGTTCTTTTGTAAAGTATCCAGACTTAATAATTGATTATCTCAATATGACACAAAATAAATAATATATTAGTATTAGGTTTAGCCAATAAATAAAAATATACACCTTATAACCTTTATCTGAAACTATTACATTTGATTTATTAAATGTAGAAAAGAAAAAATGGAACAGCAAATTATCAATAATATAAGATGTTGGATCATTTGTGAGTGTTGGAGAATACGTTTTGGAAATAGATGTGCTTTAATTACTTGAATATAGACCAGTCATGAAAATTTTAATTAATCAGACTGTGGCTAATAATGATAATGCTGTTTTAATCAATCATTTGAAATAAATAATTCTATAATATCCAAAATTTCTAGATGATAAGCAAAAGGATTACTCATAAATATTTACAAATTTAAATAAGTATTTAATTTTTGCTTTATCTGGTATAACAGGCTTATATTTATTATTTGGAAGTGGTGAATTATTTTTTGAAGTTTTGACAATCTTATAATTTCAATAGTTCTTAAGATACATTAATCTACCTTTTCCATTAAATTTAGAAATATATTTTTCTATTAATGATCTACTAACTATTCAGCCATTTCTGAATTACATTAATTATTTTCATATCTTTAAGTTAATAGATATTTACGAATATTCAATATATTCAGAAGGCAAATTTGTTAGTTATAAATAAAACTCAAATTTAATTATAAATCTTTCATTCTAAATTATTCAATGTTTTATGTTTCTATTAATTATTATTATTTTAAAATGGATCAAATATGGAGTTTATAATTGCTTATTTTGTTCAAAATGTTTTGAATACATGTAATAGTTATCATTATATTTAAATACAACTATAGTTTTTAAAATTAGTTAAGCCATTTATAATTTTTGCCTTAATTTATTTTAATTAGAACAATTAATATCATATAAAGGATTTTAAAAAGTCTTGCTTTTAAATAGTTGGGATGTTCTCTTTAAAGTTTTACTATATTCTCGAAATGTATAGATCATAAATTGGATAGATATTATTCAAATTTCATTTCTAAGCATAATTGTTGTATTATATGGTGGGATAATGCTGAATGTATTTAATTATTAATTAAAATTTAAATTTTCAGTAATGAGGATGAACAATAATCAAAAATTAGCAATTCTACATCTTTTTAGATAAGGATTCTTTTTATTGTTTTTGATTTATGTTTAAAAATCATAGATACTTTAATTAGGATTATTAATTTTAACAAGTATTTTTTAAATTATCTCCATATATTACTATCGTGATGTTATTAAAAAATCAAATTTTATTGTTTAGATGGTTGTTGAAATTTCAGTAATCATTTTTATGTTNTATTAATTACTTAATACAAATTAATGTAAAAAATATTTGAATTGTGGAGATGGATTGCTTTAATTAGAAGAGGAGTGTGATGACGGAAATGATTAAATAGCTGATGGATGCATGGATTGTATGATTGAATAGAATTGGGTATGTTCGACAATATTAACAAATTCTCCTACCTAATGTTCTTTTGTAAAGTATCCAGACTTAATAATTGATTATCTCAATATGACACAAAATAAATAATATATTAGTATTAGGTTTAGCCAATAAATAAAAATATACACCTTATAACCTTTATCTGAAACTATTACATTTGATTTATTAAATGTAGAAAAGAAAAAATGGAACAGCAAATTATCAATAATATAAGATGTTGGATCATTTGTGAGTGTTGGAGAATACGTTTTGGAAATAGATGTGCTTTAATTACTTGAATATAGACCAGTCATGAAAATTTTAATTAATCAGACTGTGGCTAATAATGATAATGCTGTTTTAATCAATCATTTGAAATAAATAATTCTATAATATCCAAAATTTCTAGATGATAAGCAAAAGGATTACTCATAAATATTTACAAATTTAAATAAGTATTTAATTTTTGCTTTATCTGGTATAACAGGCTTATATTTATTATTTGGAAGTGGTGAATTATTTTTTGAAGTTTTGACAATCTTATAATTTCAATAGTTCTTAAGATACATTAATCTACCTTTTCCATTAAATTTAGAAATATATTTTTCTATTAATGATCTACTAACTATTCAGCCATTTCTGAATTACATTAATTATTTTCATATCTTTAAGTTAATAGATATTTACGAATATTCAATATATTCAGAAGGCAAATTTGTTAGTTATAAATAAAACTCAAATTTAATTATAAATCTTTCATTCTAAATTATTCAATGTTTTATGTTTCTATTAATTATTATTATTTTAAAATGGATCAAATATGGAGTTTATAATTGCTTATTTTGTTCAAAATGTTTTGAATACATGTAATAGTTATCATTATATTTAAATACAACTATAGTTTTTAAAATTAGTTAAGCCATTTATAATTTTTGCCTTAATTTATTTTAATTAGAACAATTAATATCATATAAAGGATTTTAAAAAGTCTTGCTTTTAAATAGTTGGGATGTTCTCTTTAAAGTTTTACTATATTCTCGAAATGTATAGATCATAAATTGGATAGATATTATTCAAATTTCATTTCTAAGCATAATTGTTGTATTATATGGTGGGATAATGCTGAATGTATTTAATTATTAATTAAAATTTAAATTTTCAGTAATGAGGATGAACAATAATCAAAAATTAGCAATTCTACATCTTTTTAGATAAGGATTCTTTTTATTGTTTTTGATTTATGTTTAAAAATCATAGATACTTTAATTAGGATTATTAATTTTAACAAGTATTTTTTAAATTATCTCCATATATTACTATCGTGATGTTATTAAAAAATCAAATTTTATTGTTTAGATGGTTGTTGAAATTTCAGTAATCATTTTTATGTTAAGTTCAATATCATATATTTAGGAATTTGATTCATATTTTTATGAAGAAAAAAAGATAATATTAGGTTGGATTTAGATGGTGATACTATCTCAAGGCATAATAATATAATTAATTATAATTTTTAAAGGATTAATTAGACAACTTAAAGAGAAATGCTAAAAACCAGTATAAAATACAACTAATGTAGCCATTTGATTTCTAAATATAATTATATTTTATATTTATAATAATATTTTCTTTTATTTATTTATGTTGGATATTTTAATAAACAACCTTAATATAATGTAATAATTATGACAAGATTATTTATAATTATTCTATTATATTTAGTCCTAAAAGGCTATTTCTTCTAAAAAACTGGATTTAATGCTAAATTTATAAATCTTAGTTTATTTTTCTTCAATCATCACTTTTTAATTTAATTTTCATAAATAAAAAGCTAAATAGAGTGAAGTTTATATTCAAATATAATTGATAAATCTATTTTGAGAATTTGAAAGGATAATCATATCTTCTTAATTGTTTTTAAAGTAAACATATATCATAATTAGGACTATAATTTTAATTTTACAAAAAAATTATCAATTAATATATTTAATTATGAGTATTAAATTAAAAGTATTAAAATTAAGTTATTGAAAATAATAATATACAATATTTTTTTAAATTAATAAAAAATAAGATATATATTGATTATATTGAGTTTTACTTTTTTTCAAAAATTTGCTTAAAATAATAATAATAATAGAAAATCTAGTTCGTTATTATCATAATAATTATATTTTATTTTTTTTTATAATTTCTTATTCATATTATTCTCCATCTTAATTTAATTTTTATAATTATTTCTTTTTTCTCTCTTATGTTATAATTTATTTTTCGTTCAAATAGTAACCATTAATAGATATTCCAATTTGTAGTTATTCTGATGATAATGGAATATATTATTAAATAGTAATAATAATGATCTATTTTGTTGATATCACTTAAAGTGAGATAGAATCGATCCCAATTTTCATTTTATCAAATAAATTAGATTATCATAGTATCAACAGCAACTTTTTGAATAAACTCTAAAGTTATTAATCTTGCTCCCATTTGGTCAAATGAAACTTTATCATCTCTTAACAATTTCTCATATTATTTTTTATAGATTCAAATTTTTTGATATCATATGAATGTTTCATCTTCTTAAATACACTTCTAGCCAATAATTTAATAGTTTTTCGAGCTTCCATAATAGCCATTTATCATGTGTGTTATTTGTTTTGTAATCCTTCCATGATTTAACAATTATTTTTAATAATTTTAAACACTTCTAGAATATACTAGGTAGTAAAGGATTTTCCAATCACTTTCTTATAATTGATACATTCAAAGAACATGAATTTAAATAATATATTTTATGATATTAAATTATAATACACATATGAATTTATAAAATACAACTTCATTTTTTATGAATATATTCTATCAAACAAATTTGTAAATATAAAGAGTATTGTTATATACATCATCATATAACCGTATTAATATATTATTGATAATTTGTAAGAAGAAAAAAAATAATTTATTCATTTTCTATTAAATAACTAAGTTAACCAATCACTTTCATCGAAATATAGTATTGAAAAACATTCTTTTATGTGATTTACAAATTTAAGCTAATTTAAGGAGTATTTTTTGAACTTGTAAATAAATAATAATAAATTTTTTTTTTTTGATAGAATTAGCACATTAATATAAAAGACAAGAATCTTTGACCATAAAAAACATCATATGTAATAATAAATAGCTTAAAACAGCGAATAATACATTAAAACTGTGTTTGATAACTTTGATTACATAAAAACCAAAGTTAATAATGAATTTGAATAAATTTCTAATGGAAGAATAGTTCTTATATTTCTAGGAAAATTTGATTAACAATTTCACACTTTCTATTAACATTTTATCATTAAGCAAGTTCTTTTAGACACCGAATATTATAAATTAATTAGAATAGAAAAATAAGGAAAAATTAGTTATCTATTAAATTTTCCTTTAATCTTATAATATAATTAACAAGATAATTTAATATAATAAAATCTATGTATTTCAAAAATATATGCTGAAAAAGCTTTTCAGAAAATGCAAAAATGCAAATTTCATTTAATTGTAGATGCAAATTAAATATTTGGATAGGATACAAGAGAGAAGGTAATTATTATTAGTTTTGATTCAGTTTTTCACTTTGGAAAATATTATTTTTAAGAAAATTCATTTTCATTGCTGATACCATCATAAGATAGATGGAATTTATGTAAAGTTACTAATGAAAATGAATATAATTCTAGAGTAGTTAATTATAATGAAGTTTTAAAGAATATCTTTTAAATTAATTCTTACACATCCCTAAAAATAATTT